TGCTAATACACACAATAAGACTAAAATAGTAATTGATTACCATAAGTAAACCATACCAAAGGCTGATTAAGCTAGACGACTCAACGAATTTTTTTATTCGACCCATTAGGAATCCATTCATATCATTTTGTTATAAGGTTGAATAAGACCATACCAAACTTAATTGAAATTTCATTCATTAATGATCATTCTAGATTTATATATATCTCTATGTTTTATTTAATAAGGTTGAAGTGCTTCATGCTTTCAAGAGCTATAAGGCCGAGGTAGAGAAATAAAAGAAAAAAACAATCAAGATTGTAAAGTCAAAAAAGGGTGGATAGTTTTATGGTAGGTACACTAAAAATAGACGGATGTCAAGTCCATTCGTAAAGTTCTTTGAAAACAATGACATTATTGCATAATGCATAATACCCAAGACACTATAACAAAACGATGTAAATAAAAAAGGGAATCGTAATTTTATGAACATAGTGAAGAGCATGAGTAGTAAATTTAATCTATCATTATCATTATGGATTGAAGCATTAAGAACTATTATATATATTTTACATGGAGTTACATATAAAGTTGTCTCTAAAACACTTGTTGAGCTATAAAATTGATCAAAATTTAATTTAAATTATATACATGTATGAGATTGTTCTGTTCGGGTAAGAATTTATAATCCTCAATTAAACAAATTGAACCCAAAAACAACCGAGTGAATATTTATTGGTTACACAATGAACACTAAAAGATATAGGTTTATTATCCTTCTCATAACACAAGAATAGTAGAGGTAATAAATACTAAATTTCTTGAGGATATTAACCTTAATGTTTTCTCTAATGATAGAATTCGAGAAAAACTCAACTGAGTTGAATAAAGATATAGGACAATTGGCTATTATTCAAGAAAATCAATCACATAATATTAAATAACAACTAATTCAAGAGCGACCAAATCAAGAGCAACTAGCTATTAATAAGATAAACCCACATAAAAAAAAATTGAATTATGAAGATCCTTAAGAGTAAAGAGACTTGTAATTTTTAATGACTATGTTGTATACCTTTATGATTCCTTTGATGTTGGACTCAAAGATGATCCAAACTCGTTTTTACAAGTCATAAATTAAGGAAACTTCGCTTTATTGTATACTATCATGAAGAAAGAAATAGAGGCTATGTTTAAGAATCAAGTTTGAGACCTTGTCGAATTACCGAAAAGATCTATAATCATTGGTCGCAAACGAGTTTATAGAACCAAAAGAGATTCTTCTAGTTATGTCAAACAATATAAAGCTAGATTTATAGTTAAGGGTTATACCAAAAAGAAAGCATAGATTACCATGAAATCTTCTCTCTAGTCTCTAAGAAAGATTCATTTAGAATTATAATGTTATTGGTAGCTTATTTTGATTTAAAACTACATGAGATGGATGTAAGAATAGCATTTTTAAATGGAAATTTAGATGAAGAGATATGCATGAATTAGCATGAAGGTTTTTGTGATGACACAAATAGCCACTTAGTTTGTAAACTAAAAAAATCTATATATGGGCTAAGGAAAGTCTTTTGACAATGGTATATTAAATTTTATATTATTATTATCTCATATAATTTTATTGAAAACATTGTTGATCACCTTAAATTTAGTGGGAGCAACTATATTTTTCATGTCCTATATGTAGATGATATTTTATTTGCAAGTAGTGACTTAGATTTGTTTCACGAGACTAAAGAATTTCTTTCTCAAAACTATGATATAAAGGATTTAGCAAAGAGATTTACAGAGTCAAAGAATATCAAAACCATCTTAAAGGCCTACATTGAAAAATTTTGAAAAAATTCAGGATGTCAAATTGTGCATCTTTAATAGCATCCATTGTCAAATGAGACAAATTCAATTAGAATCAATGTCTACAAAATAAATTAAAAAAGAACGGATAAGTAACATTTCACATGCATTTACGGTAGGTAATTTAATTTATGCACAAGTTCGTACAAAACTTGACTTCACATTTGTAGTAGGAATGTTAGGAAGGTTCCAAATCAATCTTAGAATTAAACATTGAAAAGATGCTAAAAAATTCATAAAATATCTACAAAGAACCAAGAATTATAAATTGAGTTACGGACATACTAATCATCTTGAGGTCCTTGGTTATTCGGATTAAAATTTTGTTAGTTGTATAGACTAAAGAAAGTCTCCTGTAGAAATACATTTTTCTTTTTGCTAGAAGAGTTATATCTTAGAGAAGTACTAAACAAAATATTGTTGCTTCGTCTATTATCGAACAAAATTCATTGTGTGCTATGAAGAACCAACACATGCTATTTGGTTAAGAAATTTTATTTTTGATCTAAAAATTATCGATTTCATATCAAGATTAGTGAAAATTTATTGTGATAATTTAACTATAGTTTTCTTCTCTAAGAATAATAAGAAGCCTAAACAAGCATGTTGGTACTTCTCTAAGAATAATAAGAAGCCGAAACAAGCACATTGGTATAAATATATCTATTGTGAGAGAGAAAGTTAAGGAAGAAGAAGTGCTCATTTAGCATCTCAACATTGATCTAATGGTTGCAAATATCATAACTAAAGCATTATCGACAAAATAGTATAGAGATTATATGGATCGTATTTGTCTAGTTAACACTATTGTGAGAGAGAAAGTTAAGGAAAAAGAAGTGCTCATTGAGCATCTCAACATTGATCTAATGGTTGCAAATATCATAACTAAAGCATTATCGAAAAAATAGTATAGAGATTATATGGATCGTATTGGTCTAGTTAACCTATTTGATGTTTGACTTTATATTTTTATATTGATTTTTTAGATATTTTTATGTTATTTTTAGACATTGATGTGATTTTTTATGTACATAAAGTAATATTTTTTATATCCATTAGGATATATAAAATTGGATCGAATAACTTATTAAAAGTTTATTTGCTCATTAAGTGTTTATGTTGAAGATGCAACTTATTATAATATACGAAAAGAAGTACTTAGTTTTAAAGTCCGACCGTTATGATTCATATGTTGAATTCTTAATTTAAGTATGAGTGTTTTCACTTACTAGTTATTTCGAACATATAAAGAAACTATTATTTTTCGGGTAGTGTCATATAAGTTAAGTGAGAGAATGTAAAAAATATTATTTAATGTGGTTCATGTGTCGTGTCATGTTTCAAATTTATAAATGATATTTAAGAGCTTAAAGCCTATTAGACTCTAGTGGTGGGTTAGGTGTATCCATAATGAATGAAACTCGTGAAATTAGATTAAAATAAAATATTCATAGTCTAACTATATAAATATTAAATAAAGTCATTTAAAACCTTAAAGTATTGGCATAAAATTAGAAGAAAAAAAATTTTCATGGACAACACCAGTTTTTCTTCAATAATTGCTTAATCACTTAATTAATTATGACATGAAGCATGTATTCTATTACTTTCTGTTGCAATTATATGCTTGGCTATATTTAATTTATCTTAAACTATTATCCTGTCTATATTTTGTAGCCTCAATGCAAATTTTGAAGCCATCCAATTCAGTTATTAAGAGGTTCACTTTCTTCTAGTTTCTTTCCAATTATGAAGGGCATTTTGGATGCTATTTAAGTAAACTACTTTGCCATGTGGAGCTTGGACATGATTTTATTACCTTGCACGTAGTTTCTTTCAAAGCATTCGACACAAATCAATCAAAAGAGTGAGCTGGATAAATGGATGACTGGATAAGCTTCTTGAAACCTCACGTCAATTGAGGAGACAATCAAGCAGAGAAATGCTTTACATGTTGATTTGCAGAACTATAGTACAAGATTAAACAGTATCTGCCTGAAACTATCCCAAAAGCTGATCAAGCTTCTCGAAAGCACTTTACTGTCCCTTAAGATGCTTTCAAAATTTACTACAGTTTCCACATTTTTAAGGGCAGAAAAACATTAACAAGCTAACTCTCTTGTTCTTAATGCTGACTCAATCCTGCTACAGCCACGGAAGTATGCTACAAAATGGACCACTTCATTACTCTTATTTTACATAGATAAATGAAATATATCATTCCAACAAAACTCTCAGCAACTATGCATATCAAATTCTCAACATCTTTGCATCATATTTCACTTTGCAGATGCATTTTTCGTTTATAATTGGGGGTCTTTAAATAGTTGCTCAAATATACTCAGTTACAAGTACACTAAAAGCCAAAACTTTACTTGCTGACCATCACCCAAGCAATATGGCAAAAGAATTGGAAAAACAAAGAGAAAACAGGTTGCAAGTGAAGAGGGCTAGTTTTTAGGAAAGAGGAATAAGAGGAGGAGAAACGGAAGAAGTCGGGTGAAATAAAAAGGGGCAAACTTTTACGTGTAGAAAGAAGGAGAACATGTACTTCAGCTGCCCTTGGTGTTGTCCTTGCTCAATGCTCTCACTGAGAAATCCATGCTTTCTCCCGCCCTCACTTTGGCTTCTTAGCTTGCTGCTGCCTACGTCCTTCGAAAACAGGGAGGACAACTTCTGTTTTCAAAGCTTTTCTTAGAACAGAACATACGTTGAAAAAAATAATAAGAAAGCTTTGAAAACAGAAGTTGCACTCCCTGAGTGCTGAGCTTGTAAGGCTTAGTTGGTTTTATGTTGTTTGTTGACAATTACTCTCTTTTTCTGTAACATTTTTTTAACAAAAGAACATATTTCATTACCTCCTATTGACTGAATTCAAACTGTACAACATCAAAATTCCAAACAGCATACATTTCTTTATACCAAATACAACTAGAATCGATCACTGTAGCTCATCACAAGTAATCTTTGGCTCCTTTTTTATGAAGCATGCAAGTTAGATATATCTGGTAGTTATGATTGAGCAGTCTTTTTGAGTATGGAGGCTCAAAGACAAGAAGTAGCCGATGGCATATAGAATTGGTAAGGTTTTGCCATAATATATCTGATCTTTACAACAAAATTTGTCTGGAAATCACAAGACATCAGAATTCTGTCCCTCAATCATCATCATTGTCATCTTGATTGTTTGGCTGATTATGCTTTTGAGCATTATACATCTCAGCAACCTGAAATGTGCAAGGCAAGGCATTATCAAAGTTGTAAATTACAAAACCATTTCTTTCCTTTTTTTTTCTTTTTTCCTTTTTTTTTCAATTTGTTCCTTTCTTCCCTTTTTTCCTTCTCCAACAAAACAATCAGCAACTAACTGTTCATTACCTGCTCCGATGTTGAAGCTTGCTCTGGAGACTTATCTTCTCGTACTCGCACTAGACGAGGAAATCTTAGTGAAATACCCTTGAACAAGAAAGACAAGAGATAAGATTAAGCAGAAGCACAAAACATTTATTGTTTGGTTCAACTAAAAGAAACTGAGGATAAAAAAGGGGGTTGGATCAAAGTCACATGCACCTTTTGTATCTTAAAGCTATTTGGAAAACCCAAAACGATGCACAAATTAGTGAGCACAACCCATACAACTACAACAATCTTAGCCTTTTCTGCAGGCAAGGTGATTATCAAGTACCTGAACCCCGTTTTGAAAACCAGGCAATCTAAATAATGGCACACACAATATGGCAATCACATGACCAGCAAGCATCTGAACGCACACGTGCACGGACATATATGTCTGAATGTTCAGGCAATTAATTTGCCAATTTTGTAGTTAATTCATTGTGCGCCCCATATATGTCTGAAGTAGGCAGCTCCTACCAACATAGAGTCCATTTTTTTGTTTAAATAAAGCATTATATGAATAAGATGAATTCAACCTTATCATGATCAACTTCACCAATTGCAGCACGATGAACAGGGCTAATAGTCAAGTCTGCTGCTTTCACCTCCCAGACCTTAATAAATAAAAAAACAGCAAGGAAATGAAACTTCAGCTCAGCAGAGAGTAGAACAACCATTAGCATTTTTCACAAAAGGAAAAATAGACTAAAATACCTCGCTGGGTTCAAACCACACATCTGGATTAAGTGTATCTCCATATCTATAGTATGACTGGAACCAATTATAAAGTTAGAACTGGTGTAGTAAAAACATAGAACTCCATGGTCGCATCAAAAAGCATAAGAAACAGACCTTTGGTTTGGGAATCACTTTTGAACGGAGAGTAGTGGAACGTTCTTCAAGCACTGCTTCAGAAAATCCCGTGCCTGCCCATCACAAGGAAAAAGAAAAGAATGGCGCCGTTGTTAAAATAACTCAATTGACATGAAACAAATCCAGAAAATTATTGAGTTACCTATTTTACATATGCTCTGGAATTCTTCATTGTTGCTATTATAACAAGCAAGGAGAAAAGCACCATAGACACCTAAGGACAAAACAATAGCATCAGGAACTAAAAAAGGCTGGGACCTGAAGTAGGATACCTCCCACCCAAACAACCCCACCCCACAGCCCACCAGAAAAAAAAATATATCAACAGAGTCTGTCATTAAGATTGCATCTGGTCTGCATATGCATATGAAACAGAAGTATATCCTTCGACTGAAATGGCATTTACCTGTACGTTTTCCACGACCATGGAAAGCACCAATAGGTACTAGATCTAGCGAATCTCCAATACTGCAGAGCACAGCACATTTAAAAAATTTAACAAAAACAAAAACTGTGCAATATGGATGAAAACACCCTATTTCATTCATCTTACCTTTCCATGTAATCTTTCTTCAATTTCAGCCAGTTATGTGATCGCCTCGAAGGCTCATATGTAGCATCCTTATTCAATGTTTTGATAATTAAACCCTCGCAACTGCAAACTAAGACGAGTCAATAACCCCAAAATAAATAATAGCTTCGCAACATGTCATTGTAATCATATGTACATGAAAAAAGAAGTAACAGCTTTCAAAATTTTCTAGGGTATTCAATTTATACTTTACAAAATCCAAAAGAAATTTAATCTGGCAAAAAAAAATCAAGTTCCATGTTTCCAGGCATCAACACAATTGGATTCTACACAGCCTCACTTCATTCAAAACAAATGTCACGTTGGTTCCTGTAATACAAGTGAGGCCAGCATTCAAACATTCCTGTGCTGAAGTTTTGCAGTTGAAACCTTGAGTAATAAGCTTCAAGATTTTCTCGGAATACTAAAATGGTTTCAGCATAAATTACATGGGCCTAGCCAAAAAAAAAATGATGTTTTGTCAAGAAAGCTTTAGATTCGAAGGTAGAAAAGAAAATCAGAATTCCAACTACGTTTTACCATGTCCATAAAATGAGTGAATTTTTGCCAATAACATTAAAGAACGATAAAATAACCACACAAACAACTCAGTAATCTCTATCAAGAGTAAAGAATCATTTTCAGTGTAACCTTACAGTTAATAAGATGAGTAATGGCTTCCAACCCAAAGACCTAAGATAGAAGATGGAGAAGCCCTTGCAGCCTTACCAATTTTCATATTTATAACCACAGCTAAGGACACATGCATGCATAAATCAGGTTCAAGGCCTGTTGTCAACTGAAAAGGTCAAAAGCATGAGAGAATGACCTGGCATCAACAGCTGCGTCGAGGAATTTTTGTATTTCTTCAAGATCATTTGATGTTATAGCAGTTGCAAACTGGAAAAATCCAGGTTCTTCTTCAAATGCACTGTAAAGCCGCTGTACAGGACCAAAGTTGTGGGACCATCAGTATTTTCTGACTCAAGCAGTTGAATACATCCAAGCCAAATGAGAAAAGATAAGTGGAAGTTCATTGGCAGCACATTCATCACTTCATAAATGTCTACGGACAAATGGCTGAAGAATATGTATACATAGAGTGCCCTATAATAGAATGTCATGCCTGCATTAATAAATTTAGACAAGGGGCCACCCTTCTCTCAGAACCAATCATTCGATATGATTAATTATACAAGCAAATGATTCCCAGGGAAGCTAATTTACAGATTAATTATATAACCCAAGATCCCAGACTTTTAACAAATGAAAAGGAGCCTTGAAGCATGTTTCATGTTGCGTATCAATTCCTATTTTGAAACAGATATTTATGCAGTATGCCAGAATTAATTTATTTCACATAGAAAGAAACTATTGCACTGTCAGTTTGTGTATCTGTATAGGCCAAGAATTCAAGTCCCTGAAAAAATGGAGTAAAATGAAGTATAGTAGAAAAAAGAAATTTTTTATCAAAATTACAAAAGGTGCAAAGAAAATAGAGAACTCATTCCCCCACAGCCACATAAATTATTTGTAAATTGATTACCAAATTAATTTTGATGGAGTGGGCTTTTAATGATAAAAGTTGCCCCGGTCCATCTATGTTGCATGCCTAATCAAATAGCATTAAAAGAACATGGTTCTTTCCTTGGAGGTAATCAGCATTCTTCGAATAGCCCTAGCACAAATAAAACAACAATATTTATTACAAATTACGAAAACAATTTTATTGTGAAATGGGTCCGCCTACAGGATTTTGCAAGGCTCTTTGTCCATTGATTGCAGTTAGAATATGCATAATAACTTCACTTTGTCACCCTGATGACATTAGTAACCACTACCACTACTTGACAACTAAAACTCGTTATTTGAGAGAGAGAGAGAGAGAGAGCAGGGGATGTTCCAAGTATTGCACCGCCAAAAGCAATATAGAAAAGTTTAGAGGTAATGCTGGCAAGTTAAAAGGATTGACAATTTGACATTATATACCAAACTTAAATGTCAACAAGTACGACAAAATACACACTAAATGGACCTTGCAATCCTACCTTACCACATGTTTCAGATATATTTCAAGGCAGAATATTTGTAGTTTTTATGCAGCAGCAATACTATTAACAAATCTCAATTTAGAAACCCTTGCATCTAACAACTTTTATTACCAAAGAGTAGAAAGACTGCAACAAATAAATGAACTAAGGGAGCAGCAACGAAAAGCTTGTACCTCTCTACGAACATTCAGTTCTTCCTGAATAAGTGGTTGGCCATTAAGATACAACATATCAAAGGCATATATGCAAACATTAACCTTGATATCACTCATCACCACATTTTTGCGGGCCCGGGTACTGAGAATCTGCACAAATACATACCCATGAAAGCTTTTTTTCATCTTACATCAAAAGAGCCTGAATCCCAATACTTGGTGGGCTATCTAGATTTATCTTATACAACATTCAAAAAAATAAAAAAGTACAACCAAACAAACAAGTCAACCACCTGAGGGATTTGACTTTTCACTGAAAGTAGGAGATGGATCTGTGACCTGCTTTGTCCTTCTTTAACATTACACCTATAACTATTGTCATTGTCCAACAGCTATGTCCACATGTACATCGTATTTTTATAAATCCAGTCATATTATTGAAGCAAATAAGTAGATTCATTTTCATTGTTTATTCTTTTTGCTATACAAGATTTACAATATTGGAACAGTCAAAGAATTGAACAAACGATATTTAAGAAATTATGTTTGAATTCATTAAGTGTTTCACAAAACTATGAACAAGAAAACGCTTGAAAGTGATAGTGTTTTATATACAAAAAACAACATCCTTCGATTGATTTTAAATTACCTGAAAGGGGAGAATTTTCTTTTTCTCTCGATCATAAGCAACTAGTTCACAATCCAGAATAAATGAGCTTACAGAGGAACTCTTTAATCTGCACAACGAAAGTAAGCATTAGCAACTAGCAATTACAAACGATAATTAGAAAATCACTAACTATAGCCATCAACGAGCATATTGCCACACAAAGAGAATAAATCTCTTGACGGGATTTAGTTCATAATAAACCAGCTGTAAGCATGAAGTGTCTTATATATTGACATAAAAAAAAATCACAATATAAACAACTAAAGTTGAAGCCTCAAGATACATTATCGAGGTAAGATTACATTTAGAATTCTGAATCAGCACAAGTCAAAACCTGAACCACAATTTGAAGAACATATAACCATTTATGCAAAATTTTAAGCAAGGAAATAGCAGACTGCCTTATAGAAGACATAAAAATGGATTGGGCATTGCAACACACTTAATAGATGTTGCTTTAAAAAAGGGGAAAGTAAGAAGAATACTAAAGGCTTCAAAATTGCAGAACTCAATCTTTAGCCATTGCAGTAAATGAGATCAGAGAAGCTGATTTGAGCACTCATATAGTTGCCACCAGATCTCTTTACCTTGAGTATAAAGCAGCAAAATTTACTCATTTAAATTTATAGAATCTTTTCGATGTCAAAAGTCCCTTGGAGTTTTAAACAAATGACCACCCATATCACACAAGAAAAGGAATCCCTGGTAATAAATGAAGCTCACCGGGAAATTGCAGCAACAACATCAGGAAACTTTCCAGTATTTCGCTCAGCATTTCGACTATATATCTCAACCGAACCATTCTCCAAGTAATGTATCTGCATCAAACAACTGAACTAACATCATAAAACAAAGATGGCTGGAAGCAACAAAAGGAAAGCAGTGTGACTAATTAGTATCACCTGGGCACGCTCTCCATCATACTTGTATTCACAGGTGTATTCCATATCCTGGAATTTAGTTACTATCTCAGAAACCCCTTTGGTTGGTTTTGCCAGCATAGGTCCAACTGGAACACCCGGTGTGAAGCTGCATGTCTTGGGAAGATTCCACACACCATGACTAAGAAGTGCAGGGACTATTTTATCATAGACGGGAAGCAGAGAGTAAACTTGTTTCACAATCTTCGCAGCCTGTTACATACACAATATAGCAACAATGTAAATGAAAAAAAAATATATTAAAAAAAAGTTTGAAAAATTGTCAAGTTTCAATCATTGGTTACCTATCCTATTAAATAAATTCCAGCAATTACTCCAGGTACCTGCTTAATGTCACACAACTACTTAAGATAAACAATGACTGGAAACTTTGCGTCTCATACACAAGTTCCCAATACAAGTAAACTCACAACAGAATAACAATAAATTTTATTAAGAAAGATCAAAACAAAATTACAAAAGAGAAGAATAAGGCATCCTCTTGAAAAGGAAAAAACATCTTAAAAAACAAGTGTTCACAATCCCTTAATATCAACAAAATAAACTCCTCTAAGAAAACCAAAGGCTACATCACATAATAGGTGTCTGAAAATTATGGTTAAAAGTTCTACTTTTTTTTTTTTTAACAAACACTCTAAATCACAAAATAAATAGTGAAGTTAAGAAGAATCTTCCAGTGTTTTGCGATTCTGAACTCCATGAAAATTATCAATAACCAATACTTCAAGCTCTGAAAAGAAGATCCACTGTTCACCACTAATAACAAACAACCTAATCCACACATCCTAGTAACAGAAGAGCCTAGGAAAAGGTGCCCTAACGTCTCATCATGCAGACCACACACAGCGCACATAAAAGAGACAATACCCTAAATGACCTCCATACTTGTATTAAATTTTAGTGTTTATCCTATGAGGAACCACCAACCAAACCAGAATCTTAGTTTTAAAGGCACCTTGGCCCTCCAGCTACAGTTGGAAAAGGTGCATGAAAAAGAAACATTAAGCAAGATTTGCACGTAAAGGTGCCAGGCCCCTACAAAATCCAAGCACTTCTATCTGGCTTCTTAAAAAACAAAACAAAGAGGATTAGGAGTTTAGAACAAAGAAAGAAAGTCCTCAATACCCTCCCAACAACCTGTCCTCTTTCCCTTTGGCATTGATAATTAGTTGACCACTGTATTGATGAGATATCTCTAGAGTTTGGACTTTCTCAAGCCTTAGGGAGATGCCAGTCAAATTTCAAAGGAGACGATATGTCAATTTATGAACAGAATATGTCTTCCACAACCACATGAGAATGCCAGTTTGTTATTAGATCCCACAGTATATCAGTGCTGCTCTATCAAATAATGATTGCACGTTATTCCAAGCCTATATCAAGTTTTGGAATCTTAAAAGTAGGCTTTCATGGAACTAATGTGATAACTTGTCTCTAATATGCTTAAATAGCATTCAATTTCAGAAAAATGGGAGCCTATTCCTTCATATTACCTAAGCATAGCAATGACACCTTCCATTGCTTTTTTATATTATCGGATAATGTACAAGGAACCAAAGCACATCTAGTCTTTGTTTGCTATTTCAAAACTTGAACCCCATACCTCCAAAGCCTCAGTTTCATGCACAGGCCAAACTGCTCAGGCTACTTTCACACCTAAGACAATGAGCTCAAGTCGAGCACCAAACAGAGTCCAAAGTCTAAACTGCCTCATCTTAATCCAGGTAAAAATTATTAACACACATGTGTAATCAGTATCAATTATATGTAATTCAACAAAAGAGTTATATAACAAAGCTGTTCGGCTGGAAACCAATCTTGTGATGATGGCATTCACAACCTATCAGATAAAGCAACACTTCTATCATCTGCACAGATACCGAGAAGCCATAACTTTTGCAATGTACCAAGACCTCAAAACACAGGCTCACGTCATGAATGAAGAGTCCCATCTATTTGGGAGATATAACCTCACTATGTTTCTGCATCCAGCAGTTGTTTCTTTTACAGAAAATGACATGCGTTAATTTTAAGGCATTTGCTTTCAGATTTGGTTAAAGCACTACAATTTAATTTATCTTTAGTCTTTCTTATCCTAATCTCCTCAAGTTACCTCTTCTAAAGGAGACTGAATGTGTGAAGGAGGTGTAGAATGCTCTTCAGTATATACAGCAGCTTGTCCCAGGGCAGCCAAAAGAGTCTGTTCTGCCAATCCAATTCTCAACTTTGTCTGCAAGATTAATCCAAAGAAAGGTTAAACCAAGAAAAAGGAACAAAAAAATAGGATCTGAGAAAATGCGATGATCATGACCTGAAGCAGACGAATTAGATACTGAGGCTCACAATCAGTGGCTGCAACAAGAAGTGCCTTGATATGGTTCTTTTTCTTGTCTTGACTGTCCTTCCCAGATTCCTATTAATATTTTGCAGAAAATAAGGTAAGTTAGTTAAATTGAGCAATATTGTTTAACTTACTTCCCACTGGAAACTGTCTATACTTCTCCTGCACATTATTCTCCAAGTAATGTTTCTTTGTATCCTTTTTCCTGTTTAAGAAAGGATAAACTGCACTGCCTAATGGCCTACTAGAGGAAAGAGGCATAAAAAAAATAAGGCCAAAAATGAAGGAAAAAAAACCTGCATTCATTTTCCTCTATAAATTGCAATGCACTATTTCAAATGGGGACTTCATAAGCCATGAAATAACTCAGAAACATGATTGGTTCTAAGTTCTAACCAAAACACAGAGCACAATCTACTTTGTTTTCTTTATTTTGGAATAGTAATATAGTATGGTGGTGGAATTGGCAAATACATGAAACTTGCAGCAAAGCATCGTGATTTCTTGCCCAAACACCACCCATATAAAGGCTACAGCTTATTCATACATCAGAATAACAATTCTATAAAAAAAAAAATGTAGCAATAATGCAACCCATGCTCCTGCTTGCAAAAAGAAAAGTAACCACGCCCAAAAGAGCAGAGGTTCCAAGCTCAAAAATATCAAGAAGTGAAATTTAAACGTAGAGAGTACCTTAGCAATCTGTAGAAAAGTGTTGAAAACTTTAGTAATTGTTAATGGATCAGGCTTGCGCATCATAGACTGAGATGACCGGCTTGCTTTTGCAACAAGGCCCAAATCTCCCATGTCCTGCCAGTTGAAATTAAACATACATGAAGTGAAAAATGAGCTTAAATAACAAACCCCAACCAAAATTCAAAAAACCTAGGGGTACAAAATTCAAAAGTGAGCTAATGAAAGCAAAACTGAAAAAATTTAGACGATAATAGCCGGTGCCCTCTATTATATGTGCAACTCATAAGAAGTTTCTTAGATTGGATTTCATGAGTACGGCAGATAAATAATCAAGCTACTTGTTCCATATATTACTATTTTTAACTTGTGCACGTCAAGTCTCCTTGATAAAGACAAATCCAAAATGTTAAATTTAGCATTCAAGAATGCGAAGTGTGCAGCTAATTTCATGCTATGGCATGCTTTTTTGTTTCTGTTTTCAACAAGTTCAATGGAAGCATCAGTATGAAACATTTTTCAGCAAGTCCAATGTAAGTATTAAAATAAAACTGTATCTAAAGCATTCATAGCAACTTTCCAATTTATGATTCCATCCCAATTCCCAGTTCGCTTTTTTGTAATTTGATTAGCTCAAACAAACTTTCTCTGGCATTCCTTATTCTTTTTCAATTAAGTTTACATGCATTTTTCAAGAAGAGTCTTCAAACAGGCACTATAAAATCATCTTCGCCCTATCAAAAATCAAACATTGCATCCTATGCAAGACCAGTAAATAATGCAATCACATAAAAAAATTAACAGAGAAATTCATTCTCAGTTCTTATCTCAGCCTAGCAAAACACAAAACCAACAAAAGTCAAAACCACCCATATAATCACCTTATACTGCTTCCTAACCTCCTTCTCAGTTCTCCCACATGCCTCAGCTAGCGCCTTAATAATTATAGCTTCCCCAATCCCAAGCTCCACTCCCTCATGCGCAGGGGCAACCTTATTAGCCAACAAATAAACCACAGCCACCAAATCCTCTGGCGTAGTATCCATTACAGTCCTCAACATATTACAAACAATATCAGTAATCACAATCCTTCCCGACTCATTCGCTATCAAATCAAAAGCCAAAGAAACAAACATAAACGGAACCCTCTCTCCTTTCTCCCAACTAGCCACCATCTCAGGCTTAAAATCCCCCGCTTTCTTCTTCAACGATACAATCTTGTTCTTCAACTCCGCATTTTTATCCTCAACTCGGGGTTTCTTCGATTCATTGACTTTTAATTGATCATCAGACCTAGAATTGTGTTCTAATTTAGGCTCATTCGAAGTATCTGGAGTGTTAATTAGCTGTTTAGAATCATCAATTTGGGGATTTTGTACGGAATTGAGGGTTTTATCAGGGTTTTGGGGATGGTCTAGGGTTTTGCGTTTTTTGGGGGAGTTGGACTGAGATTGGGGTTGGGTTTTTTCTTAGCGGCGGCGCGCGCGTTGGACATGAGAGCGTCAAAGGCTGAGGGACGAGAGGAGGACATTTTAGAATTAGGGTTTACAGAGAGAGTTGGGGTTTTTAGAAATAATGGAGAATTAGGGAAGGAGAGAAAGGAAATGAGAGGAGAGAGAAACTTGGAGTGGCGCGTGAAGGAAATAAAGCGAATAGAGGCGCATGGACGGAGAGCAAGCATTAATTGGAGGAGCGGTGGGCGGTTGCAGATGTTGGGTTTGTTTGTTTGGGTTTTTTTTGAGAGAGAGAGAGAGGGGTGAATGAGAGCTGGAGCTAGTGTGAGTGAGGGAGAAAATGGCGGGAGTTGGCGGGGTTTTACGTTTTTTTCATAATAATAACTATTTATTATATTAAATGAATATATATAGACACGTATGTGGGTATATATGTACATTATAGATCTTTCTATTAGGAAGGAATTTTTTCCCCCCATATGGACGGCCTAATAAATCTGAGGAAATGGCTCAGAAAAGCACGTTATGAGAACATTTATTTCCTACCTTTACATTGCTTTTAATTTGATTCGATGTGGAAATGCTTATCCTTTTTTTTTTTTTTTTTTTTTTTTTTGCAGTTTGCAAGAACCCCTATTTTCGATTTTTGTCTTTTTATATTTCACTTTTTCTATGCTTTTGTCTGTTCTAGCTGTTTTTGTTGTTGTTTTTTGTTCTTGTACTTAAAATTCACTCTTATAATCCAAATCAAATTTTTATGTGAAGACCCAAATCAATTTTTACATTTAAAGAAATAAAAACTCAATTTTTCAATTAAACTTTCAAGGATGAAAAAATTATCGGCCATCATTGTGGGTTTACTCGCAATTATTGCGAAAGACAAGTAGTTCTTCTCGTATAATGAATTATTTTTCATTGTTTTTTTTTTTTTTTGTGAATCGAATTTGATAGTAATTTTAGATGATTCTGATTGTGATAAAGGTAGTCATTACTTAAATGGACAAGACACACTTTGTGAAGTTTCTTAATTATGAAGTGTAGGTACAAGAAGAAAATAGAAACCTGTCGAGAGGAAAAATACAGACAAATGGAAGATGATAACAATTAAAAATAGGTTATTTTGAAAATTGAATAAAACAGGGAAGGGAGAAGCAAATATCCATCATTAGATTTAGCCAAAAAAAAAATGTAATGACTTAGAATGCGTCTTCGTTGGTGTATGCGAAGGTCAATTCCCTAACCTTTTTCTAAATCTAATCACTTACTAAATCATGTAATGAATCTCATAATTATTTGAGTTAGGATGTGTTGTAGTTGGAACTAGATTTTTGACTCGCGTTATGTTACGGATTAAATAAAATATATAAAATTATTTAAAAAAATTATTTCAGTTTAATAATTTGTTTTATGATGTGAATAATCTATAACAATCTATGAAATTAGAGGTAAAAAAAATAATTATAATTTTTTAATCAAAAATTTTGTATTTAACTATTTCTTATTTATGTTTTTCATGTTTTTTTCTTTACTAAAAGGATTTATCCTTGTTAATCCATGGATTATTAACTAAAAAGAAAATTAAATAATTTTTTAAAAAAAGCTTTAGTATTTTATAAGATTGTGCCAAAAAACAAAAATAACAATTACTAAGAGCTTATATATAATTGAACAAGCATTTTATTTTTTACTTCATGTTGATGAGAATATCGGCTTTTGAAAAAATGTGAATTTAATTTTTATTAATAATATTAAAATAAATCAAAACTATGTGTAAATATAATTTTAAATTAATTGGATGAGAATTTAAAAGAAATGACAAATTAATGAAAATAGTAATAAATGACAAACTATGAGTAATAAAATTCTTTATTATAATATATGTTTTTTTGTTTTTTGAGAAATACATCTTATGTAATTGTTAATTAATAAATTATGTTACGTGATACTATGTACTTATAGACATAATTATTTTTGAAAAAAAAAAAAAACAATTCAATGTCTAGAAAAAGAAAGGAGCGGGGCCAGCCGTTTAATGAAAAATTAAAAAAAAAAAAAAAAAAACGTTGAGTTGAACTATAAATAAATTTAGTAGAAGTTGACTTAAAAGCATCCTTTTTTGCTTGAGAAAAGTAGTATAAATTTGAATTCATAAGTTAAAGGAAAAACTTCTCAATATAACTTTATATAATACACTATTTATCAGTCATATTTTTTATATATAAATAATAATAATAATAATAAAATAAAATCAATGAATTTTAACCTTCATTCTGTTCTTATTTTTTATCTATCATTTTGTCAATATTTATATGTAAGTATGTGTTTTTTATGATTATCAAACCTCAAACAATACAACCAGAGATAACTCTTTTTTATTATATTATTATTATTATCAAGGATACTATGATCAATGAAACTTGAATTTTATTATCAATCAATAGAATCATTAAGTGAAAAATTAAAAATCTTAACTTTTAATTAAAATAAAAATTTGATTCAATTTTATAATAACATCTTGATTAAAGCCAAAAATTATTTCTATCAAAAAAATTTTATAATTCTCTTTAAGTTAAAATTTTTTTAAAAAAAATTAATTTGCCAAAATCAAGTGAGACCAGCACGTAATTAACTTACTCAGTAGCATTAGGGGCCTGGGCCTAGATTTGAAGGCCAATGCACGGACTTCAAAAGTTCAAAACGGCATAGCATGATGTTCCTTAAAACATAAGCCCATCACACTTTTTTTTATTTTCTTTTCAACATCAGTTTCGTTTGGGAGGTGGGTGGGTGGGAGTGGTTGACTGTTTAAATGAACAGTAAACAGAACCAAAAAGCCTGAGGGAGGGGTGCTGGGGAAAAAGAAATTAAATTAAAAAAAAAACTAAAGGACAGCAATGAACAGGAAAAAATCACTATTTATTACTGTTTATTACTACAATAAAAAAGTATTTTACTTTAGTTTATATTAGATTTTTTATCCGTAATACGCTGCGGGTTGGATAAAATATATAAAATCATTTAGAAAGATTATTTTAGTTTGATAGTTTGTTTTATAGTATGAATGTATAAAAATATATAAAATCAAAGATAAAAAAATTTTTTGAAAATTTTTAATGTAATTTGAAATTAAATGGATGAGAATCTTAAAAAATAACAAATTAAAGTAGTAAATTTTAAATAATAAAAATAACCAACAAAAAAATTTCATTGAAAAAGTAAAAAAAATTATTGTATAAATTATAATAATATATTTAAAAAATAAATACTGACGTTCTAAAATTTCATTTCAAAATTCATATATTAAAAAAAATTATTAATAAATAAAATTAAATAAAAAAATTTTTGACCCGCGTTACATTGCGGGTTAGATAAAATATATAAAATCATTTAAAAAAATATTTCAGTTTAATAATATATTTTATGGTAAAAACTAATTATAATTTTTTAATCAAAAATTTTATATTTAACTATTTCTTATTTGTGTTTTAAAATTTTAGAAATAAATAATAAAGAAAATAAATTATCGGTTTCTTTAAAATTTTAACACTCAATTAATTGTTGGTTCCTTTAAAATTTTAACACCCAGTATTATTAAGAAATAAAAATTTAATAAAAAAATCAATTTTTAGGAAAAAAAAAAAAAAAAGGCCCAGCTGTTTACTGTTAAACAGACGGAAATTAAAAAAAAATGTTTAGTATTTAGAGAGAAAAAAAAAAAAAAAGAGGAGGCCAAGTCGTTTACTATTTAAATGAATAGTAAACGAAAATAAAAGAGAAGAAGGCCAGGCTTGGCTAAAAAAAAAAATAAATTTAAAAAAAATAATAAAACACTGTAGCAACAGTGATTACATACTGTATATTGCTATAATGAAAAATAGTTTTCCTTTAATATATAGTAGATAACGAAATAATGTAAAAAAATACATATCCTGTGTATGGTGATATCAAAATCAAGACAAGCTTTCAAAACACCTTAAAAAAATCACAAAAGAAGATAAGCGCCAAAAATTTATTCAAAAGTGTGTATTAATTGTCACCTAATATATTAAAATTATGTGGACGTAACAGTTCATATATTAATATGTTAATTTTCACGTCAATCAACATGTTGATGTGTTGATTATCGTGTCAATCCACTTATCAATATGAACATATTAACATATCTATAGTGTTTTTATTTGATCCGCGGCATGACTCGAGCTAGAGAGCATTGCTATCCTTGCATGTATTTTTTGTTTAGTCAATGAGTCCTCCTCAAAACTCTCGTGGATTCATCTTGTCTTTCTGTTGGAAGTAAGAATTAATTTTCTGTTCAAAAATTAATTTGATTATTAATTCATCCGTTAGAAAAAAACCATATTTCTATTAATTGAGATAATTGCATTGTAAGCACATCAATTTTTAACAATTTTTTAATTAAACGCGTGAATTTTATTTTATTTATTTATTTTAGTATATTGAATTTTTTAAATTTGTTAATCAAGTATTTATATATGAAATGTCCTTTGCTTCATTCTGTTAAATTATAGTTTTACCTTTTCATTGTTGGAGGAAACTTTTCCTCCCATATTATTATGTCATTTTTCTACTTTTTGGATACAAAGACAGTTTGGATTTTTCTGTACAAAAAGAAGAAAAGAGCAAGAAATTTAGAAGAGAAGTTCCCACAAATAATAAAATAACAAAATTATAATTTAATAGTATAGAGCGAAGGACAATTCATTAACGAGATAATTGATAGGCGTTGGATAGAAAATGCATGATTGGCACTTTAAAAGAAAAAAAAATCATGTATTCTATAAAGAAAATGTTAAATGTTGAAAATTAGTGTAATTATACAATTATCCATTTATTGATTCATTAATATGACTTCCATCTTCCTAGGAAAAAAAATTGCTTCATATGGCATAAAGAAAGTAGAATCTATAATGGACAAGATTGTTCAAAATATTTGCGTGTACTAGTCATTAAAATACAAGAAATATAATACCTATGTATAAAGTTGCAGACATGTTAACTTATGCTTTGTCCATTAGCTAAG